GACCTCCAGGCTTTCACAATCGCACATGAAATGCTTACTCCGTTTCCACAGCCATGACCTTTCTAGCCTGAGGTCAAACTGTCTGACACTCATCCGAACAAGGAGATTCTCTTCTCTCGCTCTCTTTGGAGGGAAAACAGTCAGAAAGGGATGCTGAACCAAATAGAGCAGAGCGAGCATTCAGCTGAATGACTAGCACAGCACATTTCAGCACAGGAACAGACACCCTGCCAAGTTGCATCTGACCCTTCCATTACATGCTGGACTCAGAAAGAAGATTTTTTCCTCTTTAGAGATTATTTTTCTTTTTTGTTACATCAAATCAGGGCTGCAGTTATCATTTCTTGGGCCCCGAACAAAACCGTCATAACAGCCCCCACCTAAATCTAGCCCTCTTGGCTGAACGAACCAGTTTGTTCAGTCGAATTGCTCAATCACTTTCTGAACCATATAAACCGGTTCAGTGAGTCAGAGACTTGAACTTGGATTCTTGAACAAATGTATCCGTTCTACTGAATTGTTCAATCCTGGTTTGTGAACTAGTTCAATGAGCTGGTTCTGATTCTTGAACAAATCGGACTGTTTAATAGAGCTGTTCTATCCAATTTGTGAACCAAATCAATCAATTAATTAGATCAGTAAGCTGAATTCTGTTTCTTGAACAAATCAGTCTGTTCAATTGAATAGTTCGAGTCATTCGACTAAAATTTGATTCTTGAACGAATCTTGAACTAATTTGTAAACCAAATCAACTGATTCATTGAGCCAGTGAGCTGAATTTTGATTCTTGAACAAATCAGTCAGTTCAGTTGAGCTGTTCAATCCAATTCAAACAAATCAACCAATTCATTAGACATTGAACTCAAATTTTACAACCAATCAGTCCATATAACGGAATCAATCAATCCAATTTGTGAACCAATTCATTCAGCCGGTCAGCTGAATTCTGATTCTTGAACAAATCAGTCTGTTCAATAAAACTGTTCCATCCAGTTTGTGGACCAGATAACTGAATTCATTAAGTCAGTGAGCTCAACTTTAATTCCTGAACAAATCAATCCATTCAAATTGATTTTCGATCCAATTTGCAAACCAGTTCTTTGCTGAACTATGATTCTTGAACAAATCAGTCCGCTAAACTGAGTAGTTTAATCCAATTCTTTAACCAAACCAAATAGTTTATTGAGTCATTGAATTGAACTCTGATAACTCTGATTTAACAAATTAGTCAATTCAATCCAATTTGTGAACTGGATCAACTGGTTTATTGAAAAGAATGATTCACAAGGATAATTAAATCACTGATCTGGTTCTCAAGTTCAACTGATTCAATAATCTGACTGTGTTTCTAAGTGTGAATGCCATTTTGATATAGCAATTTTTTGGCTTCAAGACTTTGGTGTACTTTTGTTTATTGTGCTTTTTTTGTAGCATTAAATTTTTTGTTTAACTATTCTTTTACTTCTCTAACAAGGTGTTTATGTGTGTGTTTGTGAATCTGACTGTCCATATACGAGATGTGCATGCAAACACTCACAGGCAGAGGCAGATGGTTGCATTACTCATCTGAGACTCTAAAACTGACACATATTTTCATCCCCCTCTCCTTCTTCCTTTCTCAGCAGAAACGCAGCCCACAGTGCTGTGCGTTCACACGTCCAAACCTCCCCCGTATTACAGCAAGACGAGACGCATAGATAGAACAGGGACTGCTGTCCTAAAGCCTCACCATCTTTGCAACAGCAATACCAGTGAAAAAACAAACACCTAGGGTATAAGACAAACAAACAAACAAGTCAACAATCCAACAAAACCACTTGCTTCATAAATAAGGCACGATTAAAACACTCTTTTGATAGATACCGAGCCATGTTATACATGAAGCTTGTTTGATGGCAACAGATAACAGACAGCATTTTGAGTTGCACTTGTATTTTATTCACATTTCTATACAGTATTTGTTTATCCCCACGTCTTACTACAGTTTCTATGCACCCTAATCTGAATGCAAATGATTGAAAAACCTCAGGGTTTGGCTGAGGGATTTTTACGCAAGTATGCCAGCAGACGTGGATGGGGCTGTGAAAATGACAAGTTAGATGGTACCAACACAGATAAGACATCATTCAAAAGTTATGCCCTTTCTACACATTCCTGACTCATCCAGGCCTTAGTTATGTCTCCACTAGATTATTGCAGCTCACTTGTTTCTGGTCAGTCTGCATCTGTCATTTGCCCCCTTGAGCACAACCAAAACACTGCCTGCTGCCCGACTTGTATTCAATCTGCAAAAAAAATTAACACGCTATGCCTTTGTGGCAGGAATAAGACTCAAGACATTTCTGGCCTCCAGTGCTGCAGTCTCTTGTTGCCTGTGAGCTGTGATTCACTGAAAGTTGCTTTTCAATGTGAGAATGACCTCCCAAAAACAATCAACCACCAACTCACTGGCAAAAGGTCTGGGCTATCCTTTCAAAACATACTGTTGAAAATAACAGTTAAAATAGTAATAATCTCTGCTGAAGCAGCACATGTTGGGTGTTTTTTTTTTTTTTTTTTGGGGATGCTGGCATCCCACCAACAGGATTGTACGTCTTTCAGAATTGAATTCAGAAAGCCGTTTAAATTCCTGGAGTTCATTTGAATTGTGGATGAAGAATTACATTTGAATGTATAATTAAAATGAATTGATATTCAAATAATTCATATACAAGATGCACAATTTCAGTTTGAATTTAAAGTAGTATAATTAAAACAAACTGATATTCAAAGAAATGCATATAACCATGAAGCAAGAGTTTAAAAAAAACAAGATCTTGTCCAAAAGTTTTGAAAAAAGTATAAAAAGCCTTGAATTAAAATATAGACACAGACAGACAGACAGACAGACAGACAGATAGACAGATAGATAGATAGATAATGTCATCTAACCTTAGATCCATTTACTGGCACATCTAAAGCGAACCTTTCCAAAGTGTATGTTTTTCACAGTACACTTCCATTTTTAGCTCAGACTAAATAAGGAGCCACACAATAACTATCTGAAAGTATTGACGTGATGCGAGGATGGAGAATTATTGTGGAGGCACAACATCAGCAGCACCTTTTACTTTAAGCTATTTTAGGCATCGCTCATTCAAGTGGACTTTATTTTTCATTTTTCTACAAATCAGAATATGCATGTGAAAGAGGTGTAAGATGCTGTGTTTGGATTTGTAAAATATTTTAGAGACAAATGTATGGTAATATGGTGAATAAATCATAATGGTTGATAATGCAGATGCTGTGAGCTGAAAGTGTATATAGATTTGTGTGGGTTGGGGCAGGGGATTGAAGCTGACATTACAAATGTATGCATTTCAGTGAATGTCTCTATTTCGTGTGGATATGTAAGAAGAAACCTTTGCTCATGCTCCTGCTCATGGAAACACCTTTTTCTCCTTCAGACTCACATCAGAGGGTTTTCCCAGTTGTGATGTCGAAGCCAAGGGTGAAAGTGAAATAAATAATAGTTATTTGTTGATTTTGAGTTATCTGAACATTAAGGTGACACATTTGTACAGGACATCTGAACACATGGTGGAAAAGAAGATAGTACTGGTAGATCTATATCTGAAAGGTAAAGTAGATCAATGAATCCCAAAGTGATTTCTGGGGGTAATCCCAAAGGGATTTGGGATTTGTATAGAATTATCCACCCAAAAATGAAAATTCGATCAATATTTAATCACCCTCATGTTATTCCAAACCGACCTTTATTCTGTGAAACACAAAAAGAAAAATGCTCTAAATTGAGTATTTGTATTTTATTGTACCTCATGAAAAAAGAACAGGAAACCTTTACTTACCTGTGTTTCTGCAAGCTCTTCTTGAGGGTTCATCAGCACATCAGAGGGTTTTCCCAGAGTGGATGTTTGAGCCTAGGCCAAAACTCAAATAAATAAGAGTTATTGGAATATGAACATAAAACATTAATGTTGATGATTGGACAAAAAGCCAACAGTGTTATATATACGGTAAATATTTTTTTTCTTTGGAAACATACACCTGCAAGGTACTTTAGAGCACATGCTTTAGAAAAACACATAATTCATCACTTTTATATTGCATAATTCTGATCTTATACAGATTATGTTGCAAAGATTTCACACTTCCCCATGCTTAAATGGCACAGGTTGCCTTGAATGCCAGCAGCTGATCATTTGCATCCTTTGCGCAACAGGAAAGCGGCGTCTGGTTCCATGACGACATGTTTTTGAGTAATATTACTCTCCCCGCTTCTGTTAGATTCTGATCGGTTCCACGAGGAGCAGCTTCAGCATCAGAAGCCTCCCACTCCCCGCCCTCGAGCTGGAGAACCCAGAGTCTACAGCTCGAGCGCGCCCGGTGAGCAGGAGGCCGCCCACGAGGCAAACGCTGGAGAAACCGTGAGCAGCTGAACCGCGTTTTCCAAGCGCACCTCCGGTGGTTTGGCGCCGAATATCTGCAATTTGCATGGAAATTGACGTCGCATGATGCTGTGTACGCTTCCTCACTATAATTTCATAAATATCCATAAAAGTGACATTTTGTGACACTGTAGTGAGGTAGATTCCGTCTTTTTAAAAATATGTCTCACAGAAGTGATGAAAAACATACTCATTTAAACATAATTAAATTTTAAAAAATACAATAATTAAAAACGAATAAATTATA